GGAATGTGAGGAGAGGATCGGGCGGGGGAGGGTTGGGGATGAGGGGACTTCCGGTTTGGGGCCACTTCCGGTCCGCCCCCTGGAAGGGTCGGGTGGGGGGGTGGGGCCCCCATGGAAGGTTCCGGGGTCGCAGGGGTTACTGGTCCCAGTTCGGGTTTTACTGGTCCCAGTTTGGGTTTTTATCTTGATACTGGTCCCAGTTTGGTTCTTGATCCTCTTACTGGTCCCAGTTTGAGTTTCCCTGGGGTTTTACTGGTCCCAGTTTGGATCCCAGTGGGGTTTACTGGTCCCAGTTTGGGTTTTTATCTTGATACTGGTCCCATTTTGGGTTTTACTGGTTCCATTTTGGGTCTCGGTCCTGTTACTGGTCCCAGTTTGGTTTTCCCTGTGGTTCTACTGGTCCCAGTTCGGGTCTTGATTCAGTTACTGGTCCCAGTTTGGGCTCCCAGTTCCCCCCAGTTCCCTCCCAGTTTATCCCAGTATAAACCAGTCCCTCCCAGTGCCCCCCAGTCCCTCCCAGTCCCTCCCAGTTCCTCCCAGTATAACCCAGCTCCTCCCAGTTCCCCCCAGTCCCTCCCAGTTCCCTCCCAGTCGATCCCAGTTGATCCCAGTTCCCTCCCAGTCCCTCCCAGTCGATCCCAGTCCCTCCCAGTTGATCCCAGTTGATCCCAGTTGATCCCAGTTTGCCGTTCCAGGTCGGGGAGATTTTCTCGGCCGCCGGCGCCGCCTTCACGCGCCTGGGGGAGCTGACGATGCAGCTGCACCCCGGCACCGACAGCTCCCCCGCGGGGTGAGGGGGGATTGGGGCGATTTTGGGGCAATTCGGGGGAATTTGGGAAAATTTCGGGAAATTTCGGGAAAATTTTGGCAGATTTTGGGAGGTTTTGGGGGGGGTTTGGAGCCCTTGTGGGGAGATTTTGGGGGGGATTTGGGAAGGCCCCAGGGGGATTTTGGGAAAATTTGGGGGGGATTTTGGGGAAATTTGGGGGAAATTTGGTAAAATTTTGGCAGATTTTGGGGGGGTTTTGGAGATTTTGTGGGGAGATTTTGAGGGGGGGATTTGGGAGGGTCCCAGGGGAATTTTGGGATCCCCAGGGGGCTTTTGGGGGGACCCTGGTGGGATTTTGGGAAAATTTGGGGGGGGTTTTGGGGGTCATTGGGGCATTTTGGGGGGATGTGGAGAAAATTTGGGGGGGGTTCGGAGCTTTTCTGGGGAGATTTGGGGCAGTTTTGGGGGGATTTTGGGGGATCCTAGTGGAATTTCGGGGTTCCCAAGGGGTATTTGGGGGATTTTGGAGAGATTTTGGGGGGTTTGGGGGAGATTTGGGCAAATTTGGGGTGGTTTTGGAGCCCTTGTGAGGAGATTTTGGGGCAGTTTTGGGGGGATTTTGGGGTCCTTTGGGGGATTTTGGGGGGGTACCAGGGGGATTTTGGGAAATTTGGGGCAGATTTGGGGAGGATTTGGGGGAAATTCGGGGGGATTTGGGGTTCCCAGGGGAGGTTTGAGGGGTCCTGGGGGAGATTTTGACCCCAGCCCCAACCCCTTTGAGATCCCCTAAATTCCGAGGTCACCCCAAAATCCCTCCTAAATTCCTTCAGATCCCCCCAAAACTCCCCCAAAACCACTCCAGGACCCCCAAAATTCCTTCAGGACCCCCAAAATTCCCGGGATTCCCCCCAAAAATCCCCCAGGTCCCTCTGGATGGAGCCGGAACTGGCGCTGCTCCGTGGGGCCGTGTCGTGATTCCAAACCCCCCAAGACCCCCAAAAACTCCTCCTAAATCCCCCTAAAACCCCATCAAATCACCCCAAAAGTCCCCAGAAATTCCCCAAAACCACTCAGGACCCCCCAAAGTCCCCCAAAAACCACTCAGGACCCCCCAAAATCCCGGGGTGCCCCCAGGTCCCGCTGGACGGAGCCAGAACTGGCGCTGCTCCGCGGGGCCGTGTCGCGATTTGGAGAGGACCTGAACCGCCTAAAACCCCCCCAAAACCCCCTCAAATCACCCCAAAATCCCCTCCA